GGGCGCTTATTCAAACGGGGAGCTTATGAAAACAGAGTGGAAATTGAGGGGCGCTTATGGAAATAGATGAAAATCGAGGGGTTCTTCTGAGAACTTAATAAATTCAAGAGGCACATTTTGAATGAAAAACAATTATATATAAAGGCATCAGGAAACCGCAAAGATAATCGTTCAGAGAGCATGGCTTGTCATGATAATAATGTTGTGAGCACAGTATTACATATAATAACAGCAGAATATAGCAGAGGAAATTTGTTGTGGTGGTTATGTTGGCCATCGGCCGATTGAGATTAGCAGGATGGCATGATCATTGCAGGTTTTCTTGAAAACTCAGATGAGAATGTGTTAGGTGCAAAATAGTCGGAGCAGGATTAAGCTATAGACAAATGTAAGAAGATGAAAGTTGGAAATATACTGTCTGTCCAGGGAGATCTCATCTGTCCAAGATAAATATCCTCATTTTGATATTGACTAAAGGAGAATGTGATTCCACTCCATCATGCCAACATCAACAGTCCCAGGATTGATTGGATTATTGAGGGGACGTTCATTCAAACGGGGCGCTTAAGGAAATTTTCACGCTTATTGGAGAAGGGCGCTTATTTGTGCGAGTACGGTAGTCTACATTAAGTCATATTATAGTAGCTCGATGCCTATCAAATAGGGGCCTAATAAGTAATAAAAATTCGCCATAAATCGTCAAATATCCGAGGGCCCTATGCGGCTCCCTGGCCCCCAGCCAAGTGAGACTCAGTTCGTTCCACTAGCCCGCCCCCCCCCCCTTTAGCCCCTCCGTCGGGCAGGTCCTGGCGCCATCACTGGGTTGGACGCCGTTTTCAATATCTCATAATACTGTATAGGCCTATGAAGAATAGAATATTTTGATCGCTTACTCAGGATGACGGACGACTAATGGGCATTGGCATAATCTAATACAGTAATTAGATCACTTGTTAATTTTATTCAGACCCCCATGGAATTACGTTATAAATTTATGAAGTACGTGAAAATACCGTTCATCGCTCTGAAACCATGGATCTTTTACTTAATAGGCTTATTACTAATAATTCAAATATTGATCCTATTTGGTTTTTCCTATATGATATTACTTAACATTGCAGAGATATTAACTGACGAAGAAAATACCGACTGGTTTAACCTAATTGGGAATTTTGAATTCAAAGCATAAAAAGCAATTATATTTCTTTAGACCCTTATATTCTACATGTATGGCCTCTATATATAAGTGAAACCTATAAGTATTAATTTAAATAGAACCAGTTGAGGGCTTATAGAAGTCATACCTAGAATTCTATAGAACTATTTTGTAAGGGCTATGCTTATGACTTAGCCAACTGAGCCACTGAGGCTTCGTTGGGAATTCGAATCCGATTAGAAGCTGATTTTTCACACTCATTTGCACATGCGTTCACAGCGAGGACAAAACATAAAAAGCATCATAGTGATAATTAGTGTAAATATTGTTTGAAAATCGAATGAATTTCTCTAGTGGTATGGTTATAGGCCCACGTGCCATAATTATATATAAAGAAAAGTCATAAGACAAAAACAATGAATCAAATACATGAAAACTTTAATAAATTACAATGCTATACCTAATTATGACTAAATTTAAGACCAAATAATATAAGGATTTATTAAATAATATTGAGATAATAATGTCAATATAAATTTGATAATTACTTTACCTGATAGATTTACAAAATGAATGTACAAAATACAAAACGTATAAATCTGTGATTCAGTAACAACCCGCTACTATCTTCTCCTGTAGATGATGTTAAAATTGGGCCGTCACCCAATATTTATTGTATTAGGTGAACATGTTGCACAAGAAAAAACACTCCTAAAACCATATTGCTCTTTACATAATAAACAATTTGTCTCAAGATATTCCATAAGATAGTCTAATGATCCGTTCCGTGATCTTCCCTTCAATCGATGTTAAACTAATGGGCCTATAATTAGATGGAGTGTTCTTAATTATTACCCTTTAGAATCTGAACCACCCATGCTTCCTTCCGGGACGTGGGTACAGCACCCTCTAAATAAAGCTTGTTAAATATAACTTTTAAAGATAATGATATAACAGATCGAAGTTCAAACAACACACTAGCATGTAACCCGTCAGTTCCAGCAGATTTATTGGTATTCAAACTAGACAGAATCTGCATGCGTCCTCTTGACAAAGGAGATATCATCCACAAAACATGTATCAGCAGAAAAAGATAGATTAGGGATATCTGACAGATCCTCATTCCCAAACACGAATAACCGCCCCTCCTAACGTTAAAATTTCCTTATTCATTATTCATATTCATATTCAAATATGTATATATATAAATCCAGAATTATTATTATTGTTATATAGCGCCTTTCTTTGCAGATACGAAGCGCTTCTGTCCCTGGTCAATCCTTAGTGTTGCTGCTGTATTCAGCGCAGGAGCAAGCAACCCCACCAGTTACCTATTTATACTCCTGGGTGGAGAGAAGCAATGCAGATAAAGTGCCTTGCTCAAGGGCACAAGCGAAATGCACAGCGAGGGATTGAAACCCCGACCTCAAGGTTGGGAAACCAAACCTTTCACGCTCCGACAAACGCTTACGCCTTATTTAAATAAGGGCCACTTCTAATTTGAATAAGATTTTCTTTTTAGCAAGTCAATAATCCAATCAATCCTGGGACTGTGGATTGGCATGATTTGAGCTGCAGAATGGAAACACATTCTTCTTAGGTCAATATAAAAATGAGGATATTTCTATTGGACAGACTGAGAGCTCCGATCCCTGGACAGACAGTATATTTCCAACTTTACCCTTTTTACATATTTGTCTATGCCTAGTCCTACTCCTCTTTTTCTTTTTCCGACCTTTAGCACATTCTCATAAGACTTTTCAAGAAAAAATACAATGATCATGCGATCGCGCAAGTACGGTAAATAGGTCATTAGACTCCGTTTTCAGCAATGAGATCAGGGACCCCAGGATTACACTTGGTTTGACTTTTCACATATTTCCAAAAGCATTTTTCATTAAATCCTATCTCGTCTGCAAGCTTATTTTCAAAGTTGATTTAGTTTTCCTAATTAAGTTTGTGGCGAAATTCCTATCCACTACGAATTGCTTCCATTTTGTTCCAATGTCCGGTCTAGTGTTCTCTTACTCTCAGCGTAACGTTTCCAACTTTTATTTTTCTTATTAATTGCTTTGAGGCAGTGTGTGTTTTTCCGTTTTAAAATATCTGTCAAATCTTTCAAATTATCGTTAGTAATTTAATTTGTTATCGTTTATTTAATCCATGATGGTAACTACGTAGAGCAAAATGCTAGACCTCTGAAAGCCCCCAGTGGTAGTTGGAAAATGGTCGATTACCGTAGGCAGAAACAATAGCTTGAAACTATAAGATGAATATTTAAATTAGTGCATTTACAGTAAATGTGTAAAGCGTTTTATATGTACTAACTTCACTTTCTTTTTGGAACTTATTGGGAATATTTAAATTTATTTTTACATTCAAATATGTGACACTAAACCAAATCCCCATATTTCTATTTCCAAAATATTTCCATTTCAACACCAATACATTGCATGCATTTTGTTTGTCAGCTATAAAAGTAAAACTTGCCAGTAAGTTAAGCCAAAACAGAACTAATACAATGGACCAAAAATGAAGTGATGAATGAATGACTAACTCATATTTTGCTGGGGGTTTCCAATACCCCCATAAAATCTAAGACACTAAGAATGCAGTATCACTTAACTTGTGTGATGTGCAAACTTCCTAATTGTAGGCCTTGAAGTCAATCCATTTTGATTCAAATTAGTAGGCCTAGAGTAGAAACAATTGCTTATTGGAAGTCAGCACAGAAATGACATCTCTTTCTTGTCACCATTTATTCTACATTTCGGACCGTACAACATCGAATCCATCAGTCAGTGTTTTCAACATGGTAATCTATTTGTAGCTAAGAGTGGTGGCGCAACTTGATGCTGTAGTCATAGGGCTACAACTTATTTGATACTCTTAAAGTATGGTACAATCAAAATAAATAGCCATTTAATATTTTATTCATAAAGTGATGAAAAGTTAACACAAATAGCTCAATATGGTTGGGCTAAACGAACATTAACTTGTATTACTGTAAACCAATTCCTTTTTTTTTTTTTTTTTTTTTTTTTTTTACATTTCCCGATAAAATCTACCCTTTCCCCCCCCGATGTGGTTTAGAGGCTGCCCTGACGAGGGGGTAGCCCTTTCAGCCCCCGCTGGCGCCAAAATTATAAGACAGTCAAGGTGAACTCTGGATCTGTACCTCTCTAGAAAACTAAAACTTTCCGAAAAAGGGCACCCAGAACTCCCGCATCCCGTCTAAAATTTGTCTTCCAGCGACAGAACACCCACAAATTACGCTCTCTTCTCAAGACCCCACCCACCCTAGTACCCCAGCTGTTTGATAGTCAGGGTCTGATAGCACAACTGTTTGTGAGTGCTGCCATTTCAAAGGCGAAGTGTCGCAAATAAGTAAACTCTATATATACGTGTTTGTCACCATCGGGATGAGAACCCAACATTCCACAATAATACTGTACTTTCAATGGTGGTAGGCAGGCTACTTGCCTCACCGGTACCGGGATGTTGATGTAGCTGTAATATTGATTGTTCTTTATTTTATGTAGATAATTAATTGTTAATAATATTAATCCTGACAAACGTCGGAATCGTGTGTTATACGGTAGCAGACCGGCAGATTTGCCAAATTTAGATATGCGTCCACAAACATAGAGGCTCTGCGTTGCTACTATTGTACTATCACAACTACTGTTCTGTACTGTTGCTGATATTCGTAAAATTTAAATACATTCAAGTAAATATAAACCTCAGCATTTTGGCTAATTTTAGAAAAACTTCAAACCACTACGACCATCGCTGCTGTGAAATGATGAGTCAATGAAAAAAAAAAAACAATCATTTTTTTCGGTCATTTTTAATACACCTTTTCCATTACAATCATTATTGTCACATACTCTAGATAAATATCTTAATCACCAGTATGAAAGTGTTTCTCTACCAAAGATTGTACTGAGATTTAATTAAAAAATGTATCTTTCTACTGTCTTGTTAAAATGGTGAAGATGAGAGGGCAATATCATATTTATCTGCGCAGTGCAATAACAACTAGTGTTGTTCGACTACCCAAGTGTACATGCAGGGCCCCAATAAAAATCAGTGTATAACTGGGATTTGAATTCTCAACAAAGCCACAGTGGTTAAGGCGTTTCAGGTTCGAATCCTGGTTAGGGCAACTCCTTTTTCACAATAAAATATAAGATTGATTAAACTCGTTGATTTAGAAAATATTCATACACTTTGCATACCTAATAATGGATACAAATTCTATACCTAATGGTCTATACCTAAATAAATTGGGTTGTATATTATATATCTATATATACCAAGTATTAATATATACAGTACTGTAATTAAAATAATGATAGTATTTAATATTTCTAAATACAGCATTGCACTTTTAGTCTCAGAGAGGTTTAAACGATAGACTATAGCAATAGGCCTTCTTTGGGTGCCCTGTGATATCTGTCTTCAATACATCAACACAACAAAAGAACATGTAATAAAATTATAGAATAAGGTCGAAAATTTTTGGTTTTGAGAATAATCATTATAATTTGCATACTAAATAATGGATAAAAATTCAATACATAATGGCCTTATATAAACAAATTGGGTTGATATTTGTATATCTATATAACAACTATTAATACATACAGTTAAATGTAAGTACAATAATAATACAGTATTTAACATTTTATAAAAAATTGCACATTAGTCCCAGACAGGTTTAAATGATGGATTAGCACTAGGCCTTACTGGGGTGCCCTGTGTTATCTGTCTTCCCTGTGGAATTGATCCCTTTCCTTCTACCAGCTCTCGATATATTCCCGGATCATCATCAACCCCGGTCAATGCCATGTTTCGGAGATTAGGCATCTCGGCAAATGGTAAATACTCCTCGCCTGCAAATTGAAAAATACACTTGATTGATTAAATCGCTACAAGTTGTGGGCCAATATATAGGCCTAATCGGCAAAACAGAATGCAAAATTATCAAGGTTAGAATTCTAGGCCCAAGTCAAACGGAAAATATTACTTTCGGCTTGTTCTCGCAGGCTGCATAACAGGCATTTGCAGGGCATGCCACCAGTTGAGAACCCAACCCTAGCCATTAGCACAAGCCAGCCCATAGTGGTCTAGTGGTACGATAGCATGCTAATGACACTGGAGGAGATGGGTTCGATTCCCATGAAAGTGATTCAAATGTACAAAGTACTTATAATCATTCAAAAAATTAAGACTGAACCATGTCAGAATATAATAAAATGTCGATATTGTATTTAATCAAAGAAACACCTCCTCGATAAACGGCACCTCACCTTGAATAAAGCCTGTCGCTTATACACATCTAGGTGGGTATAAGAGACAGAAGTAGTAGAGAACAACATATATGGAAGAATTTCATTCATTTAATCTGACATCCCGAGTGCAAGATAACGAGTTGACCAGGAGCTGGACATGGCTGGCGGAAAGTGGCACGAACACTCTTGCTGCGAAAGCCAGGAACTCCTGTTAAGAGGCCTAGAGATATTAATCAGTACTTTCTTTTTCCCGAATAATGGGCCCAAATCAGTTGAACATAGCCATCAAAATTGGGCCCAACTATGCCTAGCCAGGGTCACTGCTGTTGGTGGCTATGTTTGGAGCCTTTAAAAAATGTCTTATTTCAGTTATTATACTGAAATCACAGAAACATGGTTTAATTATATATTTTTAATTATATTATGTTCAAGGACAGGCTAAAAAAGCATCTTCTTCAATTTAATTTTGTTATTTGGTCATTTTTGTGTGTAATAGCACTCCGAGAGATTATTATAGGGCACTTAAAAACCATGTTATATTATTATTATTCTTTTTTTTTACGATTTTATCAACACTATGACAGTGTTTTAGGTGACAATTGTTTATGATACTCTCTTGTTGACAACACAGCCTCTTGGCAATATATATCATACCATATGGGATGCCATTTTGTCTACGTTCAGTTTCTCCTTCAAACACAGTTTCATGTTCTTCCCAGTGCTTATCGCAAGCTGCACACAGAAAATTAGAATTGAAAGCACTACAACTGCATCCTAAAAAAATCCAATGAAATCATATACAAATAAGGGTCGTAGTTTGCATTCATATCAAAGTGCCATTGTTTAAATGTACTGACTGATCCCTCTTGAATCCCTTACTATTGGTGAGGGTAGGGGTGTATCAATGCGGGTCAAATAAAAATGTTTTTATATATAATGTGCATAATGCACAGCTAAATAGTATGTTTGAATCACTTAAAGGAACAAAACTGATTCAGAGGAATTTTAGCCGAAACATTTTAGAGTTATTAACCTGATTATACCAACCAATACTGCATAGCAGGGGTTCTCAACCCTAGGGGCCAAAATTGTTCGCTAAATAAATTTGAAGGGCCAGGGCAAGAGGAGTACTATGGCGTGTAGAACCCTCGGAGCGCCGAAGGCGCGAGCCTTGGGTGCGGGTGGTCCCCCTTCCCAATTTTATAAATTTTTTGAAAATAATAGGCCGCTAGATTCTCCTACAGGGCATCTTGACCTAAGAAAGTTACCCTTGTGTTTGGTATTGCAAAAGTCAAAGTGGGGCAATATATAGGCCTAATCGGCAAAACAGAATGCAAAATTATAAAGGTTAGAATTCTAGGCCCAAGTCAAACGGAAAATATTACTTTCGGCTTGTTCTCGCAGGCTGCATAACAGGCATTTGCAGGGCATGCCGCCAGTGAAAAACCCAAACCTAGCCATTAGCACAAGCCAGCCCATAGTGGTCTAGTGGTACGATAGCATGCTAATGACACTGGAGGAGATGGGTTCGATTCCCAAAGTGATTCAAATGTACAAAGTACTTATAATCATTCAAAAAATTAAGACTGACCCATGTCAGAATATAATAAAATGTCGATATTGTATTTAATCAAAGAAACACCTCCTCAATAAACGGCACCTCACCTTGAATAAAGCCTCCCTCGAATAAACGGTAATCATGTGTTGTAGTTCCACATTTACAGTGAAATTACAGGACATTTGATTATAAATGTACTCATTTTACGCACAAAAATAAAACACCCCCTCAACCTCAAAAATGTTTCTCATCAATAAACACCCCAAGGCGTTAGTTGAATAAACACAATGTATTATTTGTACTGACCTCTTGTTTTACAATGTCGCATCCCATTACATCTGTGTTCTTCATGAGTGTGTTTACATCGGCACTTTGCTCGCCACGTGGATGGGTCGAAGTTCCTTCTCCGCTGGAACCAGAATTCCCCAACATCCTCTGGTCGTCCAGGAACAAAGGCAAATGCTTTGCACTCACATTGACCACAAGGGACACGCAGACTTTTTGCTGAAGAATTTAAAACACTTTTGCAAAATAATGATTAATACAATGTTCAACTTCCAACACAGGTTCTATTTTATTGCATTTTCTTTAATTTTAGGTACAATTGGCTAAGAATATGCCAAACATCCAACTTTTCTAATTAGCGATCCCTTCACAAGACAAACATGCACATTGCTCCACATAAGTTAAGTGTCAATATGAGGCTTAGGGAGGGAGTGGAGTTTGTTTTGGACACGAGAAAATTGACAGGAATTGAACAGAGGACCAAGGGATTGGAAGTCAAACATCTTCACCACCAAGCTAACTCCACTCCACAATGTTGCAGAAGTTCATTCAAGAATTATAAAAAAGGCAATAAGGTGGGTGTACAGAATGGGGCTTGGCCACTGTTTCACAATTAGTTTACTAATATAATTGACAATTTAAATATTCACAAGGAGGATATATAGACCTTTCTGAAGATGCCTTAGAATTATAAGCCATCAGTTTCCTGATGGCTTATAATTCTAAGGGTTACTAACAGTGGCAGCAGCAACTGAATGGCATTTCACCAATATGGGCCATACTAATCCATAAAAACCATCCCCATGAACCAACCCAGGGAATTTTATTCTGGGACTTAAGTGGCCCTTTGGTTTGCACCCTTGTTGAACAAGGGCAAAACAAAAAGACTATTGCTGGGCTACTATTGCCTGGCTCTTAACCAATCAAATGCCTGGAATCTATGTATGATGAATAATGTATATGATAGTAACTGTGGTATGGAAAAACACCTGCACACCTGCACAGGGATAAATATAAGGTGGTGGCACTGATTATTTAGAAAACATATTGCCCCCATCAGGATTATAACCCAAAACCTTCCGATTTCCTTTTCAATGCTTATGTTGGATGTTTTAACCAGTAGCCATTTGCCTCAAGAAGGGGGCTACTTTTTCAACGAGTGGGGGGCTTATTAAGAAGACTAAAGATGTAGGGGAAATATGAATGGCAGCCATCGAGTGGTGGCTCCAGAAAATTATCAACAGGGGGCCCAACATCTCGCAATTCGCTCGTACATGAAAAGTAGACAATTATGCTAAGTCTATTGTTGAGGGCGCGCTTCTACTAATTTAAATTTGACCGAATTTGATGACCTGGAAGCTGACGATCACTCTGCTACACACTGTGTATAGGTAGGCTAGGAACAACAACGGCAGCGTGTTCCAGATTTCGATGAACATGAGAAGTGCTATTGAGTTCAGCAGCCAGTGATAATACGAAAAAACAAGTATGCCGTCCGAATATTTGAAGAGTATCTTGAAGCCAAAAACTGTGATTTACTGAGGGTAAACATGTTATCAAATGCAGGCCTCAATGAAGTGCTAGTGAAGTTCTAGGGCTATACATTACTGAATGGTAATGAGAAAGTCTTGGGTTCGAATTCCCATTGGCGACAATAGGTTTTTCTCAAATATTTACTGTCCCCTTTATATATCAAAATGGAGGTGTTTCTCCATATCAAAGTTACTACCATATAAAATTATACAGTACCATTATATTTTGCATGGTCTTGTAAAAGATGGCCACAGAAACAGCGTGAAAGACGACCAACACGGATGCAATCAAACTTATAGTTTGGTAACCTCCAGCCAACATAAACACCTACATAGTAATAATATTTTTTTAAATAACTATTATTATCCTCATCTTACCTTATAAATTCATTATTTAAATCATAAAAATTTATGCGTATACCTATTAATGTTTCTATAAACAAAACATACATTAATAATTTGTGGCAAAGGCAGGTGTGTATATAGGAATATATAAAAATCAGTGTGTATCGTTTCTACTAATTAATATAGTCCTCAGATGTATACGTACTAATTGTTTAAAGCCAAGTAGTTTAAGTTTATTTTGTTGGCAATTTTTTGCACAAATTGCCCTTGTATTTTAATGTACATTGTATTTTTGTTCAGTATGCATGCATAACCTTCATGTATGACATGTATAGCAGGATTTTTTGAACCAGTCTTCAGACTTCTGTTTAAACTAATTGTTTAAAATTCAGTAGTTTAAGTTTATATTATTTTCATTACTGTACCATGAGTATTTTGATTTACTTATTTTTTTGGAGATTTTAAAACAATTTTACAGTATTTTTGTATACTTTTTTTTGTATGTATCTTGGATGAACCATACATTTTAGTGCCACTGTATCTAAAGCGGATTCAATAAATTGATTGATTAAGACAAGCCAAACCAGTCATTCGTCGCAAAAAAGAGATTTTTAGTTATTAACACAGGGTTAAGTAGTAAAATGAAAGCCATAAAATGGTATTAAAACAATCATTTAAATTTGATTTCCTTATGAAGTTACAAGCATTTAAACATACAGCTGCTTAAAGAACAATATTTGAGAAATCAGCCTTTCAAAGTTTATGATTTTGGTCATTTCTCATGCAGAAACTCTCACGAAATCGTTAAAAATTGTTGTTTTAATATTGAAAAAAGGCAAAATAACAGAATAGCTATGTATACAGAGATATATAAAGGTTAGTTCAGTGCAATGAAATAGATTTCAACAATTTTCACAATACATGTTTTGGTCATTATCTCTAAAACATGATTCGTGACGAGTGACTGGTTTGGCTTGTCGTTGCAACATTAATGCTTTATAAATATCTGATATATCTATATTATATATAACAAAAATATGGTTTTTTTTTATTGAGACGAAAGAATAAATGATTGACAGGATTATGAATATGTTTTGCCTCAATCTATATTCATCATCACAATATCAATTTAGTAACTGCTTGCAAATCAGATGTAAAAATATATTTGTTTTAATATGAAATAAAATACTCAGTATTAACTGTTATAAAAAAAACTGTATAAAGCCCTGTCAGGACCACCAAATTTTATTTGATAAAAACATGTGACATGCCTATATATGGTCATGATGACATCATATCATCACCATATACTGTATAGGCACATCAATATATGGGCATACAACAGTTTTTTGTCAAAAAAAAATAATTGATAATCTTTTTAATGATAAACTGTTGAACCTGTTTGTATGGCTTCAAGTGCTGCATCCGTTTCTGGTTGAAATAGTTTCTGCATTCTTGGGCCAAACTCCTCTCTATGCATTGCCCTGGCAACGGAAATTAACTCTGCCTTCTCTGCAGGAATCACAGGCCTCACTGTGTACCCTAGCAACAGTAAACATAGAATATTTAAATTACACAAACTGCATGTGCAATTAAAGTGGATGGGAAAATTGACACAGAAATACTCAAATTTGGCACTAAAAAGCCACTAATTTGCTGATATTGGTATTTAGGGTTCTTTTTGAAAATTTGCTAGACCAGAATATTGCATAAAAATTTGGGAGACATCCAATAAACTCGGGAGGGTTGGAACAGTAACTTATGAGGAAAATATTTTTGTTTTACTAAATATCAATTGAAACCGAATAAGCCATGTAAAATCAATGGTTGTACAATTCAAGAGCATTATGCTTAACAAATAGTATAACGTTTTAGGCCATGTAAAATAAAATAATTGGTTAGCATTATACCCTCCCTACCACCAGAGAGGCCACCGACTCGATTCCTTTTTTTTTTTTTTTTTTTTTTTTTTTTTACAAAGCACTCACAAATCATAGCCGTCGGTAGCATTTTGCAAGTGGTCCGGCCATTGTATTTGTACTCAAATTTTATTGTAAAAGTTAGTAGGGTGCTGAGCATCCACTATCAGCCTCATCATGGTTGTTGAACAACTTTTTTGCAACTCTGAATGCCCGGAAATAAATGCTGACAATTTGTAGAGCCGCTAGCCCCTCAAAGAAATAAAATTAGCACGGAGATGGAGTCTATGTTGAAAATATGGTACCTCTGGATGCCTGGAAATACAAGCTGGCAAACCTGGATTGCCACCACCCCTCCCCATCCTGTCTATTGGCAGACAAAGATTTAAAGAAGTGGGGACTAGAGATATACCCACCTCTGCCCCATATGTTTTGGGCCAAGGTGAGCAAATTTTGAAACTTAAGGCATCTAAATATAACTAAGTTATTGTTATGAAAATGTGTAGTAGTACAATATATACTGTACATCATACACTTACTAAATTTATCTGAAATAATATTTGCTCCCAGCGTACACTATATTCCATAATTTAAGTTTCGTGGCATGAATATATCCCCATAGCAGGCTCGAAAGTGTGTTCATGAGGTACTCTCCCATATATAATACTAATAGGAAGATTTAAAGGGCATCATATTCTTACTGGTATGACTCAAGAAAAAATAGAGATAATAAAGGCCTATGCCCTGTACATGATGCTAAAGAGTGAGCAGAGAAAAAAGCATCCCGGTTAAAAATTCTATATCTGGACACAGAATGTGGTAGCATTGACCAAATTACAATTCGTAAGATTATTTTAAATCATGGGAATAGGTAGGTCTACTGCGAAAATGATATATTATTCAAAATGCAATTAAGTTGCTTATTCCTCCATGAATAAATAAAGTGCAGCAAACACGAATATGTACAAGGAATAACAATGATAACTGTAACTATATCTACACGACGTGCAGTATTGAGAAATATTAACAATCAATTATAAATTAAATAGGCCTAGAACATGTTCTATGAATACACATGATACAGTATGCTATGAATTATTTATGGAAATGCAGTAGGCCTCCTATGCCTACACAAATAACGTCGCATTTCGACAAACTTACTGCTCGTACAATTTAATTTACACTTACCAAATTCAGTCTGAAGCATAATCAATTATTTATCACGCTCCAGGTCAGTTATACTATCAATTGAATTGTTAAAATGCTGTAATTAAATGCTGTGTTTTCTTCTGGTAGACCTTACAGCGATTACACTCAGCCAGACCATGCACAGATCTAACAGGTGATATAGACAGAGCACTAACATTCAAGGACTATCCAGCTTTTTTTGTAAAAGAGTGGAGAGGGGCAAAATGTTGTTAAATGTGGCTAGTTTTACAGGGGTTCAGTGGTCATACCATGGAAACTTTGTTTTCCTGGATGCCCAGGAAAAATATGAAATAATTATGATGATGATGATGATGATGATGAAGATGAAACTTTGTTTAAAGTGAGTCCATTTTTGGAATCAATGGAAAATAAAGGCCCCGGTAAGGGTGCAGGGAAAAAGCCCCGAGAAATATCATAGTTTCGATTTGCTATAGACTAATTAGGGTTGCTATATTTAGTCTTATAAAATAGTAATACTGTACTTCCAGAAAGCAAAGCCATATCCTTCCATTGAGCACGGGGACTAAAAAGCTGGGCAAAAATTTGATGGTCCAGGTTGTAGAGTATTAAAGGCATGTTTGATATTAATTTAATTTTAGTTATCGTTGCTTTGCATTGCATTGCAATTGTTGATTTTGTCGGGTCGACATCCCCCACCACCACTCGTCTGACACCACGACGAGGTCATCAGACTAAATTAATATTCAAATCCAATCAAACACGTTATTATGATTGCTGTTCCCTAATATTGTAGTCTAAAAGTATAATTTTGGGAAGCCCGAAAATAGCAACTGGCAATTATAGAGCCAAATACCACTCCCCAGCAAGGGGCAGAAACAGCATGCATGATGTGAACAAATTATGAAATTATGGCATCTGTGATACCTAAAAATAGCATCTGGCAACCAAGAATAGCAAGTTATCAGGGCTGGCTTTATCTGCATTTAAGCCTTGTGTGGTGACTAACCCCAACATTTCATACATAGTTAATTGTAATTATATGTTTATACCTCTAAACATTGTCAAAATTACAATTTTTTTTTGAGGGTGTAGACTTTTCTGCTATTTTTTCCATTCTCTCTTATTTGATATTTTTAATTGTAATATTTATTTAATAATATTAATATTTAATTGTAATATTTATTAATAATTATTTAATGTAATAGGCCTATGATGTAATATATAATATGTGAAACTGAATTTTTATGTAATTTTATGTACCGTATTTTTAATCTTTAGACATTTATTTTTTATATCATTTTGTATATATACTGTTTTTTTGTTTTGTTTTGTTTTTTTTGGGTATTTTTTTAGTGGTTTACCATACGGTTGGGTCTTCAATAGATAAAAAAAATCCAAAAAAATAAAATATGTAATAATATTGAGAAAAAGTTGTCCGGCCAAAGCCGGTGTGGCCGGTGCGGTTCCGACAGCCCTGCAAACTCCATTTAATATAGATTTGCTTACCACCCCTCTGCATGCTAGCCAGACCACTTGCAGTTCTATGCTCTACTGTTGTTTTATACTGTAGCCACATGGCATCTATGATGCCAGTTGTGTTGGAGTGAATTGTGCGTGATTATATAGGGATAATTTCATTATGACTGTTATTCCAGTCAGATGTACAACATCTCCCTGGTTATTCCTAGGTAAAGTTTCTGCTTGCTATAGATGAATTATATAATTTCTTGTATGCAATTTTGGTCTCTGTTGTTTTCTTCTTTTTTTTTTTGTTTTTTTTGGGTGTTTTTCCTTGAAACACTCTTTTTAATGTTCGACGCGAGAACAAAAGAAACCTCCCTCCCTACCATGAAAATTGGTAACATAAGGATGCTAACAAATTTTTTATATTTTACATGGCCTTATGTGATTGTGAACCTACCTTCAGGGTGAAGAGTACCATCTTTGGACTTCTTCATTGGTATAGTCTGCATTTTTGGTGCTCTTATGACTTTATTCTGCGTAGTTTTTGGTACTACAACTCTGCTTGTTGCTGGTTTTCCTGATGTCTTACTGTTCATTTTAGCACGAGTGCCCGCAGAACTCTTCGGTGAGCCTGATGATGATCCACTCTTCTTCATGCTAGGCCTAGGTTGCCCTAAAGTAATAATAATAATATCACTCATTATTAATTATAGACCGCTTTCACTTTAGTATAGTAGTAGGCTTTGGATTGGATTGGATTTATTCGGTGTAAACACCAAGGATAGCCCACGAAAGTCTAGAAGAAGACTATTTCCAGTGGGGTCCTTCTGGTGGTGATTGGGCAGTACACTGGGAGACAATCCCCTACTCTTTTCCGAAGGGTGTACTGCGTTCTTTAACATGGGCCATAATGCACACAGGACCAACGGCTTAAACGTCTCATCCGAAAGACGGTGCGCTATTGTAACTTAAGCCCTCTCTAGCTGAAACACAAGGAGAGGCAGCGATAGGAATTGAACCGGGGACCTACAGATCTCCACGGTTCAGCGCACACACAGTGGCTACCACCAGATTAGCCAACTGAACTAAGCTGCTCCCTTAGCAGGCTAGTAGGCCTAACCTAGGCTAGGCATAGTAGTAGTAGACCTAGGCCATAGTCCTAGAGGCCTATCGTTTCTTCACGTGCCCCCCAAAAAGGGTAAATATAACTTACTCTTAAGTAGGTAGGCTAGTAGTAGGCCTGTACGTTACAGGTTCTTATACTAGGCCTACTACTACTAAATAGGCCAGCCTACTCCTGATGCCCTCTAGCTATCTAAAGGTAGTCGCAGGAGGGCTAGGGCCTAGGCCTAGGCCTAGCTTGGCTTTTTAGGGGTAGTCTAGCCTAGCCCTAAATTGAGGCACGACCAATCTGTCCTGCAGCAGTACTGGTAATTTTATGGGCTGGTGGTAGGCCTGGGGCCTTGGCAAGGCTAGGAAGGAGGACAAATGCGTAATGCTGTAAAAATTATAAATAGTATGCTATTATTAACAATGCTGTCATATAAATTATTTATCCGGTAAATGTACTTATTACTGACCTTATAATTATTGTATACCGAAAGTGAGGACTGGAGGTGGTGTAAGATCGATCAACCGAGTAGTGTTTAATAGCTCTAGGGTGTGCGCTTGGTGTCGTCATGATAACCGTATAGAGGGCGGTAAACACTTTGCTGTTTAGTTAATAATTATTTTCATCCATGCTTGTGTATTTACAGTACAGGGGCCGGATTTATCGAACTAGAAATCAGCTTAAAATCTTCTCCTTTTTTTTTCGCTTAAGCCAGATTTATCAATATTGCTTAGCTTAAAAAATTGTTTAAAATTAAAAAATAGATTGTACGCATGCACCATCTAAAAAGATTTTTAAGCTAAGATGGTTTGATAAATCAGCATATTTGCTTAGGGACATCTTAACTTTTTTGAAGTTGTTGGAGGGGCAACAACTCGATACCAAATTACAAAATTGT